CCGTCTCCAGGCGGGTCTGCCCACATGCAGATATGGCAGTGACCAAATGTTAACATTGGTAAAGCGGGACACCATTGATAAAACTCATATCCTGGCAAAATAGCCACATGGCAGCCGAAAACCGTATACTCTAGCTTGTTGTGCATTCTTTCCAAAAATCGGGACTTTATTTAAAATGCCGCGGGATGCGGGGAAAAATTGTTAAAAATGGGGACTGTCCCACCAAAAGCGGCCCACATACAAGTTGGCCTGGCGTGAAGACTGTTACCCATGCTACACATGCTTCAAGATAAAATTTCATTTATTTTTCGTTAGAAATAAATATTTCACAATATATAATGACATATTGTTTTGTGATGAATCACTATGCTTTAATTATGTTCCATTTGTAACCATGAAAATACATCCTGCATATCACATATTTACATGATGGTTCATAACAGTAGCAAAATGACAGTTATGCAGTAGCAACAAAAATAATGTTATGTTTGGGGTGTCAACACCACATGAGGAACGGTATGAAAGGGTCATGGCATAGACCAGGATGTGAATAGCCTTGTCCTCAGACAGCACTGTAAAACCGATTACGGCAGACACAGGTTAAAATGAAATCTATTCATTCTCTTAAGAACTTCATGCAATCCTGACTTCATGACATTTATAGACTGTGGAGCCACATAAAAAGAACCACAGATTTCCAACCCCATCCTCTCCCAGACTCCAGGCCTGTCTCTTTAACTGCGTGTTCATCACTTCCACAGGATGTGTAACACAGTGTCCAAAACCCTGCGGTACTCCTAGACTGCTCACCTCCTCTCCCTCTCACACACGTCCTTTCTCCAGCCCGTTAGCACATACTGCCAGCTCTACGGCAGCTTTCAAACCATCTTCTGGAACCACCCGGCGCACACAGTCATCTATCTCTCTCTGGATCATCGCAGGAGCCTCCTAGCTGGTTTCCGGCATGCCACCCTTGCCACCAGCCGCGAAATCTGTGCAGAGGGCCAGAACGGTTTCTAAAGGATGAACAGCCGATTATCTCATGTGCAAAGCATCTTTTGCTTTCCATTCTCCAGTTATTATCTTACATAGCATTCCCTCTCCTCCTAGGGGTTAGGCATTGAACTCCTAATCTCAAGGTCAGCAGTAGGAAACCACCCCCTGCCCTCCTCGGGAGAAAGAGGAGGCTTTCTAGTCCCGGAGAGTTAGTCAGTCCTGTCCCATAGGGTCGCTGCCAGTCAGAATGGACTTGGTGGCAGGGAGTTTTCTGCTCCTCCAGGGAAGCTCCTCCCTCTGCTTTCTTTTTAGCACTTATCAAAACACACCTGACTGCCACCCAGTCCGTTTGGACTCACAGAGGCCCCACAGGACAGAGTAGAACTGCACCTGTGAGTTTTGAAGACTAAATCTTTGGGGAGTAGAAAGCCTCCTCTTTCTCCTGCAGAGTGGCTGGGGATTTCGAGCAGCCAACCTGGTGGCTAACTGTCCAACTAAACCACCAGGGTTCCTTTGCCACTGGTATATAGGTTGTTAACTGTAGCTTTTGCCAGCCCACCCTTTGACACAGGAATGCAAACTCCAGAAGGGCAGGGACTTGGTTTTGTTCACTGGCCTTTTCTTAGACCTCAGGCCACTACCACCCAGTCGGTTCTTGGACTCTTAGCCACTTTATAGGACAGCCTAGCCTGAACCCTAACCCGTTGGCTTTCTGAGACTTTAAATCTCAGGCAGCCTCATTGTTCTCCCTCAAATTGACTGGTGGGTTTGAACTGCTGACCTTGTGAGCAGCAACACAATTTGTGTTCCACTGTGCCACCAGGGCTCCTGGTGCCTGCATATCAAACTACTCAGCTCACTGTCATAAGTCAATTCTGACTCATAACCAAAAACCTAGCTCACTGCCATTGAGTGGATGCCAATTCACGGTGTCCCTATGGGACAGGTTAGCACTGCCTCTGCGGGTTTCTGTTTCCAAGACTGTTTATGAGCATAGAAAGTCTCATCTTTCTCAGGAGTAGCAGCTGGTGGATTTGAACTGCTATCCCTGTGGTTAGCAGCCCAAGGCCTAACTCACTATACCACCAGCGCCACCTAGCGCTCAGCTGGTAACCAAAAGATGTTCCAGTCTGTTCTCTAGACTACAGCCCTGACAACCCCACGGAGTTTCACTCGTCCGATAGTTGGGACCCTGGTGGTGTAATGGTTACGTTGAGTCACTAGCTGCAATGTTAGCAGTTTGAGACCACCAGTTACTCTGCAGCAGAAAGATGAAGCTTTCTACTCCCATAATTAGTCTCAGAAATCCACAGGGGCAGACCCACCCTCTCCTCTCGGGTGGCTGTGTCCAACTGAGTGGCCCTGAGCTGCTGCTGCTGTTGCTAGGTTCCATATGGGGTGGGTTTCTTTGGTATGTGGGCATATAAGACCGTTACTCCCTGACAGTTCTGAGCCTTTGTTTCTTCAAATGGGGTCCTCAGCTGACCATGTGGCCTGCAGGAAAACTGCCCCGCTCATGCCTTTGCGGGGCAAGATTCGGGGTTCCAAGGGCAGACTAGGGTTTAGTGGGGCCTGGGGCTTATCTACTTCTTGGGGCCTCTTTAAGGAAAAAAAAAAAGACAAAAGACAAACACAAAATTAAGTATAAACATATTTATTTAGCGCAGGAAAACAAACAGTATGCAACTGGAGTCATGGAGACTGATATCTCTTTCTTAGGAGATTTCTGGAAATTCACCTGCTCTAACTTCTGACAGCCACGGCGTTGCCCTCCCGTGGAGAAGGCTACCCCTGCCTGTCGCCACTCCCTCGCTCATGCCCACAGCGGCTGTCCTCCACGGGTCAGCTCCCCTGAGCTCCCCCCAGCCTCCCCTCCCCGCAGAGAGGCTCATCGCTGCACTTCGGTCACCTCTCCGAGGGCACCCCACTTGAGCCAGCAGACCTGGCCTCTCTATCTTCCTGGAAATCCCTTGAACATACAGGGCGCTTTCGCCTATAAAATGGGGACTTGGACAACTGCCCTGTACCTTCCACGCGAGGCTCCTTGGACCAGGTGGGGGCCAGGCGGGCTTCGGGGACACCAAGCCCCGGTTCATGTGCCAGTCTAGGGCACCCACCCACCTGCTCCTGGGAAGTTAAGTTGGAGGCTAGTTCCGGCTTTGCCTTTGGCTCCTGGGTGCCCTGAAGGCCATCTTGCCAAAGGGACTTACTAACCAGCCTCGCCCACCGCCGCCCACGGTCCGAGCGGCTGGGCCCGGGAGCGAGGACGCACGCCGACGCGGGATCTCGGCGACGCAGCCCCGCCCCGTCGGCAGGACGCCCTCGTCGGAAAGCTCGCGAGACTCTCGCTCCGGGCGAAGGTTGAGCTGTGGGAGCGCTCTCGCTTGCCGTAGTCGGGGTCGGAGGTCCCTGGCTAGTGGTTCCGGGTTGCTGCTCCGGCGGCTTCCTCGGTGCTGCTGGCGGAGCCCGAGCCCGAGTCCCAGCTCGGGGCCGTCAGCGAGGAGGGGACAGATCGGAGTGCCCCCAGTCCCGCGTCCCCCCGAGTCCTGGAAGACTGCTGCAGCACAGCAAGCGGGCCCGGGGCTCCCGGACCCCCAGCCCTGTGACTCGGGGTTCCTGCCCGCTCGCCCACCGCCCCACTTGCATTCGGCTCGGTGAACTCCCCGCCCTGTGAGTTGAACAAACCAAGACTCGGGGGACCATCCGGGGTCCGGTCTGCCAAGCCTCTCCGCCGTCCCCTTTGATCAGCGCTGACACCTGGCCCTGGCCCAGCGCCCCTCCCCGGAGTCCAAGGTCCGTGCAGGTCTCGGCCTCGGCCGCCCTCGTCTCATCTCCCGAACCATCCACAGGCCGGGACACAATGGCCGCGTTCCGGTCAGGCCTCCTGGTACTGACGACGCCTCTGGCCTCGCTGACCCCCCGCCTGGCCCCCATCCTAACCTCAGCGGCCCGGCTGGTGAATCAAACGCTGTATGTCCACCTGCAGCCCGGCCTGAGCCTGGAAGGCTCCGCCCAGCCCGAGCCCAGCCTCGTGCAGGCCACGTTTGAGGTCCTCGATCTCATCACGCACCTCTACACAGGCGCCGATGTCCACAAGCACCTGGACATCCGAGTCCTGCTGACCAACATTCGGACCAAGAGCGCCATTCTCCCTCCCCAGTTCTGCTCGGTGCAGAACCTGGCCCACCCGCCGGAAGTGGTGCTGACTGACTTCCAGACCGTGGACGGCAGCCAGTACAACCCCGTCAAGCAGCAGCTCGAGCGCTACGCCACCAGTTGTTACAGCTGCTGCCCGCAGCTGGCTTCGGTGCTGCTGTATCCCGAGTACGGGCCTAGGGCGCCATCCGTGGACCCCCCGGATGTCTCCTCAGCCTCCACCATCAAGCCTTCCTCCCCAACGGCCAGGTCCCCGAAGCAGCCGGTGCGGGGATACCACCGCGGCGCGGTGGGCGGCACCTTCGACCGGCTGCACAATGCCCACAAGCTGTTGCTCAGCGTCTCCTGCATCCTGGCCCAGGAGCAGCTTGTGGTGGGAGTAGCCGACAGAGACCTCCTCAAGAGTGAGTGAGAGGGAAGACGGCACGAGGGCCCTGCAGGACCCCAAGTCTGTCCAAATCGAAGAAATGTGGTGCTTCTCCCCTTGTGAAGGGCCTGGCCCTCAGTTGGTGTGAAAGGAAATGTTGTTCACTGAATAGAGACAGCTTTCTCGGTGGGGGCATTCAGCCCTGTATCATGAGTCTCCTAATGGGAACCTGCACTTTCATAAAGACACCCGGGGCTGAACCCTGAAGTTTGGGATCTTGGGCTAAACGGGGCTGGCTGGGTTGTAGGTAGTAATACCTGAGGGGGCCCAAGGGTGGCGGTGGGTCTTGTCATTCGCCAGCTAACTCAAGCCCTTTTGCCCTGCTATTTCTCTGGAATCGTTTTTTTCTCCTGGCTCGTTCTCTGGGTACAGGCTGGCCCTTCCAGCAACTTTCAGTTTAGTTTTGAAACAAACCCACACTGTCATTTATTTACTTGTCAGTACGTTTCAATGCTTGAGGGATAGAACATCACACGGCTTTTGTGCCCAACCCAACAGCCCCTGCACAAACCAGGCCCCTGTTTCCCTGGGCAGCTGTTCCCTTTCCCAGATCCCTCTGGTTTCCTGAGGTGTGCCGCCAGGGGTCACTGAGCGCTGCTTTGCTTTGTACATGCGAGCACACCTCTTGCCTACTTAGAGATGGGCTTCATCCCGGGCATGAACGCCTTCCGTGTTAAGAAAAGCTGTGTGCTCCTTCTGGTCCCAGAGACCCTGTTTCTAGCCTGTGTCCAGCAGGCCCCATAGGCTCCAAGATGGGGGGGGGAGTGTTGGGGGACAGGGTGGGGGGAACCCTTCCAGCAACTGTTGTGCTTGCCTGCCTCCTCCTCCCTCGCAGGCCCCCACCTACAGACCCCTTCCCTTTAGGAGTACTCTTGCCCAACTGCCCCACGTTGGTTCCCCAGGCAAGTTGCTCCCTGAGCTGCTCCAGCCCTATGCGGACCGTGTGAGCCATCTGAGTGAGTTCCTGGTGGACGTCAAGCCCTCCTTGACTTTTGATCTCGTCCCCCTGCTGGACCCCTATGGGCCCGCTGGCTCTGACCCGTCCCTGGAGTTCCTGGTGGTCAGCGAGGAGACGTATCGTGGGGGGATGGCCGTCAACCGCTTCCGCCTTGAGAATGTAAGCCCTGAGGGAGGCTGGCAGGAGGCGTGCTTAGGGGTGGGGAAGGTCACTGGGGCCCCAGAGGAGGGAAGAGTCGGCCTCGCGGGTAATGGGGAGAGGCAGGGGGTAACTGGACCTCGGAAGGCTTTGGGAGTTGGAGGAGGAGCCCAGGATGCATAAGTGAAGATGAGAGGCAGGGTGGATTGTTGGGGTTTGCCCTCCTCCATCTCCCCCCTCCTTTCCCCTCCCTGCTTCCTGTAGAACCTGGAGGAGCTTGCCCTGTTCCAGATCCATCTGCTGAAAGACCCCGGCCACGAGGAAAACGAAGAAGATAAAGTCAGTTCCTCCAGCTTCCGCCAGCGAATGCTGGGCGATCTGCTCCGGCCCCCACATGTAGGTCCCCGCCCCTCGCTGGGGCGCACTGGGCAAACTGGCTGGTGGAGTCTGAGGAGTCCCCCCGAGCATGCGCCTAAGGGCCCTGGTAACTATGGGGTTTGCGCTCTCTCATCTACCCCCAGAAGAGACCAGAGCTTCCCTCCGCTCTCTATGTGATCGGGTTGACCGGCATTAGTGGCTCAGGGAAGAGCTCAGTCGCTCAGCGGCTAAAGGGCCTGGGGGCCTATATCATCGACAGCGATCACCTGGGCCATCGGGCCTACGCCCCAGGCGGCCCCGCCTACCAGCCCGTGGTGGAAGCCTTTGGACCAGGTAATAACTGGGGCAGGCTGGAGGTGGCCTGACGTGAGGAGGTGGCCTGGCCTCCTTGCTCCGGTCTTCATCTTTGTCGTCCAGATATTCTCCATAAAGACGGTACCATCAACAGGAAGATCCTGGGCGGCCGGGTGTTTGGGAACAAGGTAGACGCTGGCCCCGGGGCACCAACACCTTGGGGTTGGGACCCCAAGGCTCTCGCAGCTTTGGCCCAGAATCCTGGTTTCCACTCACCTGCTCTCAGGGAAGCCCCCTCTCTAGAATTGGACCGGCGCCTGCCCTGAAGGAAGGTAACCCTCGCCTGCTCTCCCGCCCCCGCCCCCTCTCCAGAAGCAGCTGAAGGTGCTCACTGACATCATGTGGCCAGTTATCGCCACGTTGGCCCAGGAGGAGATGGCCCTGGCTGTGACCGAGGGTGAGGAACAAGGACGATGAGAGCAGCCAAGGGAGGCAGTCAGGCCCGCACCAGGCACCCCCAGTGCCCTGGGATTATGACCCATGGGAGGGGGGCAGGGTGCCACCGCCAGTGACAGTGGTCTTCCCCGCAGGAAAGCGCGTGTGCGTCATCGATGCCGCCATGCTACTAGAAGCCGGCTGGCAGAACATGGTGCATGAGGTGTGGACCGTGGTCATCCCAGAGAGTGAGGTATCTGGACCCCTCCCCTCCCCGCCCTGCAAAGGCTTCCTGCCTGAGCTGGGGCTGGACTGTGACCCCCGCCCCCATGCATTGTGCCCAGGCTGTGCGGCGCATTGTGGAGCGTGATGGCCTGAGCGAGGCTGCAGCCCAGAGCCGGCTACAGAGCCAGATGAGTGGGCAGCAGCTGGTGGAGCAGAGCCACGTGGTGTTGAGTACCCTGTGGGAGCCGCACATCACCCAGCGCCAGGTGGGTGCCCCTGACAAGGCTGGGTGGTAGGCAGGCAGTCCCCAGGGGCATCTGCCCGGTCCGCTCTCAACTCTTTCTCCTCTTCCAACATTCTGGCCTGCCCAAAGGTGGAGAAAGCCTGGAACCTTCTGCAGACGCGCATTCCCAAGGTGCCGTCGTGCCTGTGAGTGGCATGAGTGCTCGGCGGGTGGGCCTGGCCAGGCCCTTGGAGCTGAGAAAACCCCCCTGGGAAGAGGAGAGAGGGCCCTGCCGCTTGCCCTGCTTCGGACCTGAGGCCTCCTAGCGGAGCTGGGCAGGGCTGGCCCTTGCCACCTGCTGCTGTGAGGCCCTCACTGAGTACGCGGCCCGTGAAGGCGCGGGCCCTTTGGCATGCTCGCCTCCCACTTGCCCCCACGCTTGCTTGCCCAGGACCGACTGTGAGGCCCACAGAGGAGTGGGGCCGAGGCAAACACGAGCCTGTAACCGAATTAAAGGTGAATGTTTCAGGGGAATGTACTGTCTTCTTCCAGCTCCAGCGCCAGGTACCCGCGGCCGGCTATCCTTGGGCCAGCCCAGTGCCCCGCGGCCAGGCAGCACGGTGGGGAGGAGCTAGCCCAAGGGGGTCAGCTCTGGCCGGCAGGCCGGCCAGATGGGGGGCTGCACCGACTAGCGGTGTGCCTCTGCCGAAGTCAGACCCTCCCGGGTGCTTCGCAGGAGTGGACTCCAGAAGGACCCCCGCCTGAGCTGCCCTCCCGGAAGGGACACCACCCAGGCCCTCCTGCAGGAGCCGCGGGGCAGTCTGGGGAGCCACGCCCTCGGGGCCCGTCGGGCCGGCCGCGCATGCGCACCCCCCACTCCCCGTCCTGGGAGCCGCCGCCTGGCCAGGGCCTAGCCTCGGGGGGCAGAGCGCCCAGCGCGTCCCTGGAGCCCCGACTCCGGCCTGGGTGTCTGTCGTTGGCGGGCTGCCTTTTAAAGTCCTGGGGCCGCTCTGAGCCTCACGTGACCCGCCCCTGCCTCTGGTTGGTGGGCTGGGTCACGTGGCGCGCCTCCTCTCTCCGCAGGGGACTGGCCTGCTGGCTAGTTTCCGGCTCGGCGGGTCCACGATGACGGAACCCGTGGCCTCTCCCGAAGACCCCTGGGTCAAGGCAAGCCCTGTGGGCGCGCGCGCCGCCAGCCGAGGGAGGGCAGGGCGGGCTCGTGCAGCTACGGGGCTCCGAGGACGAGGGGATGTCCTCCTGCTCCCCAAGTCTCCCTCACCCCCCACCCGCATGGAGGACAGCTCGCCCCGTGTCCCGTGTTTCTAGTGGGAGACCGACGTGTGCGCCCGAGGGAGAGGGGCGGCGGCCTGTCCATCGCGGCTCCCAACGGGGAACTTTCTCCTCCCCGCGGGCACATAGTGAATTGGGGCGCCTTCTCCCAGGGACGGGGTTCTGATGGGCTTCTTCCTTGCTCGGTGCCTCAGGTGGAGTCTGTCTACAGCGACAACAGCCAGGATCCTGGTGAGTGCCTCCCCACCTTGTTGGCCACACCTGAGCAGAGTGCGCGGAGCTGAAGGGCAGGGACAGGAGGCAGTGACACCCAGTTCCCTTTTGAGTGGGGCGGGGCAGTAGTGGCCTTAGTGGCAGCTGGTCATTCTCTCACCCTCTTGCCCAGATGCCCCAGCGAGGGCCAGTGGTGGTTACTACAGACCCAGCGCAGCGCAGACATTAGGACAGCAGCAGCGGAATGGCAGGAAGTTGCATGGCCAACTTCTGAGTTGAAGAGAGAGGTCAGCTTTTCAGGCCTCTCCCCCCCACCCGTAGTGACCAGGCCTCTCTTTTGCAGGGCTTTTCGTAGAAAGCACCCGAAAGGGGAGTGTAGTTTCCAGAGCTAATAGCATCGGTTCCACCAGTGCCTCTTCTGTCCCCAACACAGGTAGGCAGTGCCACTTCCCCGCAGGGGGCCGGCATCTCAGCGGCTTTCCTAAACAGGGTAGCGCCTGCCATCAACGTGGGGGTCCTAGTGCCAGCCACAGGGTTCACAGCTTTGCCCTCATTTAGGGTCTTAGCTCCTGTTCACCAAGTTCCTCTCCTCCTTCCCAACTGGGCCCCGGGATGACCTCTCCCCACCCCCACCTCTGAGCACAGATGACGAGGACAGCGACTACCACCAGGAGTCTTATAAGGAGTCCTACAAGGACCGGCGGCGGCGTGCACACACCCAGGCCGAGCAGAAGAGGAGGGATGCCATCAAGGTGAGTGAGGAGGGTCCCCCCACGCCTCAGGTTTGTTCTGCCCAGGCCCTCAGAGGATTGTCAGTTGGTCCAGTCTCTAGACTTGATCAGGTCTTCCAACCTCCCCACCCCCTGCCCCTTTGAGCTTGTGAATATGAAACTTGGTTTTAGGGAAGCTTAGCTTGGCCTCATTTTGCCCTGAGGACTGCGTTTCCCTGCTATCTCTACAGAGAGGCTACGATGACCTTCAGACCATCGTCCCCACCTGCCAGCAGCAGGACTTCTCCATCGGCTCCCAAAAGCTCAGCAAAGCTATCGTCCTACAAAAGAGTATGGCTGGACAGTGCCTGCAGGGAGGGGGCGCAGACCCATGGGGCTGGGAGGCGGTCAGCGCCTCCTACCCACTCCCTGATTTGGGGGCCCAAATGGGGTGACTGGGGGTGGGCAGGAGTCACCAAGTCAGCCTTGGAACCTCACTGAAACGTCTGTGCCCACACCTGCCGCAGCCATCGACTACATCCAGTTTCTGCACAAGGAGAAGAAGAAGCAGGAGGAGGAAGTATGCACACTACGCAAGGATGTCACAGCCCTAAAGATCATGAAAGTGTAAGGCTGCTAAGTGGAGGTGCAAAGCTTGGCGGGTGGACTTTGAGGCTGACTTCAGTTCACACCTCCCTGTAGTTCCAGGGCCTCCCCGGAAACCACGTGGACCATAGCGTCACAGTTCTCAGCAGCCCCTCAGGCAAGGCCTGCTGGAGATAGGGAGAGGGGCGGGTGGAGTCGGCAGATGCGGACTCCTCATCCCCCACCCAGTCCCTTTCCTGGGGAGGTATGTGGGTCCCGGCATTTTCTGGGGACTGCTAGAGCTGCCACAGCACCCCATCCCTGGCCTGCTTGCTTCCAGGAACTACGAGCAGATTGTGAAGGCGCACCAGAACAACCCCCACGAGGGAGACGACCAAGTTTCCGACCAGGTCAAGTTCAGCGTGTTTCAGGGCCTCATGGACTCCCTGTTTCAGTCCTTCAATGCCTCCATCTCCGTGTCCAGCTTCCAGGAGCTGTCGGCCTGTGTCTTCAGCTGGATTGAGGAGCACTGTAAGCCTCAGGTATGGGGCAGCAGTGGCCCGCAAGGGGGCAGTCCTGGGGTGGTCCCCCCACCTTTAGGCAAAGTGGCCCAAGCCCTCATAATTCAGAACAGCGTGGTGGCAGCTCTGGGGTTTCCCAAGGGTGTTTCTGTGACTTTAGCCATCTGTCTCCTTTGCTACCTAACCCAGTTTCTCCTCTGAGTTTTGGTGAGGATGTGGTGGGACCGAACTGACTCAGCCCCAGCCCGGCTCTGCCAGGGGCTGCTGAGCTCCCATCCTTGCTGTCTTATGGGTCCTGTTGGCCAGCACATGGGAAACTCGGATTCCTGGGCCTCAGGCCCACTAAAAGTACCGAGGTTTAGTAGGGTCATTATTTATAACGGAACTACATTGTCTCCTGCCATTCTGCGACTTGAAAATTTGGCAGTAAGCACCCATTGTCTAAATCTATCACCAATACCTTACTATGTCTGCTTGATCACGTGTACCATCTGCCCTTCTTTCCACCCTGCTCTGGGGACATCGCAGCCAACTGGATGGCAGTGTGCTTTCCAGGGCTGCCTTCTGGGGGCACCACCAGGACCTCTCTCTGCCCCCTGGCCTGAGTCTTCTCTCCTCTGCCATCCTCCCAGACCCTGAGAGAGATCATGGTTAGCGTCTTGCATCAGCTGAAAAACCAGCTCTACTGACCAGCCCTTGGAAACCAGCAGAACAGCCCCCAAGAAGCCAGGTCTCCCTCTATGGGACCCGACTGCAACGTCCCATGCACAAGTCAACTGGCTCCTGCCTGATGTCTCACCCTTGTAGGCTGGGCCATCCGTGTTTCCAAAGCCTATGGTTAATTTATTTTATTGACTGTAAAACTCAAACTACCCAGTTTCCCCCTGCTCCCTCCCAGACGCCCTCAGGCTGGGTGTCTGCTGTGAGTACCCTGGCTCTTTCTTTAAGCCTCCAATCTCTGCTTAGAACTACATGTTTGGAAACTGCAGTTTACCTCTGTGTTGTTGGTCTCTTGGGTAGTAATATTTGGCCCATGTCTGACCATTTTAGGCAAAAGGAGTTGGATGGGAGAAAAGGAGGAAACACTTGCACAGCCATGAAGGGCAGAGGCAGCCTGCGCCTACCGGGGCTGGGGCTGCCCACTCACCAGGGACTTCTGTGTCATACTCCACCACCCTCCTGCCTCCCAGCCTTAGGCTCCCCTGTACTCACAACAAAGGCAGGGTGGTACAGGCAGCATATAAAAATATTTTTCTAAACAGCAATGCAATTTTGCTAGAGTTAGTACTTTGGAAGCTGAGCTGTCTCAGAACCACTGCGAGGTCCCTGTGAAGTCTGGAGCCTGTGGAGTGACAGCATGAAAGCCGGGCCCAAACCCAGGGGGTCCTCGGTGCCTCATGCATGGCCTCCTTTGGCCTTCAGACCCCATCCCACTGTTCCCTCCTGCCCACCTCCAGCACTTTTGTCTGGGGAGATGTGACCATTACAAGGAAATCAAACATTTTTATATCGAACTATTACAATAAATAATTGCCAAACGCTTCCCGTTCATGCTGCTCCAGGCCGAGGTGGTCAGCTCCAGGGGTTGAGGGTGGACGATGACAGAGTGCGGCCACTCGGGGCTGCACACGGCACTCGGGGTTATGCCCCTTCTCCCACTGCTCTGCCCAGGTGCAAAGCAGTTAACAGCCACCAAAACCCAACTTTATCCTAGGCCTTCCACAACCATCCCCCAGTCCCAGCAGGCCTCAGGGGTCTGGGAGCTTAACATGGTAATCTTCATCTGTCTCTATCCCAACTTCCTCCTGCGGGCAGGGAGAGGGATGGGTCAGAACTCCCCAGGCCAAGACGCCAGGGGAGCAGGGGAGAAAGGGAGGCCCACTTACAAAGAACTGCTTCTTACTCTTGGGGTACCCTTCAAGAATTGCATCACACAGTTCTGTGGCCTGACAAAAAAAGAAAGCTACCCCTCAGGCAGGCAGGTCAGGTGGCAGGCAGCATTCCCAGGCCCGGTGCTCTAGCACTTACCATGCGCTTCCGCTTCCGCCACTCCTTGCAGTACTTCTGCCTATCCTGGTAAACCTGGACAGGACAGGTCCTCTCAGCCCCTGCCCCAGCAGCCCTCCACCCCGTTTGCCCAGCCTGCTCACCTGCTCCTTCTCTTCTGGAGTTACATGGTTGGTGGCCGCCCTGATATTCTCCAGTCTCTTCTGGTAGCCCGCACACTCCTTCTGTAGCTCCTGGAGCGCGCTCTGCATCTCCGGAGTGGTCAGGGCACTGGTTAACTCTTTCAGCTCTGAAACCACACCTCCCGGAGGTCAGGGCTACCTGAGGGAAGGGTTCTAGATTTCCCAGCTGGGGCCCTGCAGTCTAGGAAGTGCTGCGAAAAGTACGGGTACAGGATAACCAGTTGATTCTACTTCCCTTTGCCCTCCCTCCTACCAGTGGTGGGCTATGCAGTTGTGCCCACGAATCGGAAGCAGGAATGAAGGAAACAGGGTACTGGAATGTAGGTAGGGAAGGCACAGGCATATCTTGCCAATTTGGATTCAGTAGCCTTGAGTTCTTTCAGTGTAATGCCCCAAGACAGCCCACCTACCAGACCCTGCAGGAAGGCACCTGCCAGGGCACCAGGGCCTACCAGCTTCCATGTGGCGGCAGCTCTGCTGCACGCTCTGCACCTTCGAGGTGAGGTCCACGATCTTGGCGTCCAGGGCCTGGAGGTCAGCATCGCTCACCGTGTCAAACTGGTCCTGCGGGAGACCCAGGAGGGCGGGCTGGGGCAAGCCTGCAACCCGCTTAACACTCCCTACCCCCACCCCACCAAACAAACTTAGGGGGAACGGCACATTCTCCCCAAGGAGTCCAGCAGTAGGAAGCCTCTGGCCAAATGATGAGGTGTGAGCTCGCGGGGTGCTGCCCCAAGGAGGGGTGGTGGTGTTAGGAGTCCATAGGCCGAAAGGCGAGGTCTCCCACATGGGGGTGGCCCGCGCGAGTCCCCGCACCTGATCTGCAAAATAGATCTTCTGCTTGCCGTACGTCTTCTCTCTGATCTTGCCTTGCTGGGCCAGCTGGTCCAGCGCCTTCACCACCGCCTGGGGGAGGGGCCGGGCAACCGGAAACGTGAGTGACTTGGCGGGGCGGGGGTGTCAGCGAGTGACGGCACGCCCCGGGAAGCTCCGGGAGGCGCGAGGCCACGTGCCCAGCCTGACCCGGGGCCTCACCGCCTTGCCGAGGCCGTGCTCCCGCTGCAGGTTGCCGAACACGTCCTGGGCGCTGTAGGGGCGGTTCTGCTGCTGC